ACAGATCTGAGACTCAACAGTCCTGCACAATTCACAGCGCTTAACAGAGCACGTACCCTCCCCAGTGTCTATCACCCAGTCACCCCATCCCTCCCTCCCCACCCCCCACTCCAACAACACTCAGTTTGTTTCCTGCGATTAAGAATTCGGAGGATGGAAGTTTCTTAGCAGAGCCTTCATTTCTCATAGCTTCTCACCAAAGGGGGAGCGGTTCTTTTAAAAAAAAATGTCCTCTCGCCAATAAAGATTTTATTCCCATGACTTTAGTGGCAGCATCAAACCACTTCAAGGTTGCCTGACTAGCAGTGAAAACGAAAAGAAAGAAAGACAATGGAATATAAAGAAAGCAAAGGAAAATGTAGAAGTGTCTAGGAAAATAAAGCAAGTAACTTTGTAGGTGACAAAGACATTGCCTGCAAAAACCATTTTGAATATTCTTTCAAAATGACTAAACACACGAACTTACACAGTCTTTGGCATTCACATCGACACCAGCATTGAGCAACATTCGGACAAGAGCCTCATTCTGCTTGGTCTTTGACACCTGTTACAAACAGCAAGTACAGAAGAGGTTCATTGACAAAATTTTTCTCCATCTTATGCCTAGACTATTCTACTCAACAGGATTTATTTTAACCCCAACATGTCTATACGTCTATGCACCTTTCTTAAAATTTCCCCCACCGCCCCGCCCCCTCCAATATCAGTCAGGTAAAGCCTGGATTCTCAGAGTGCCGTCCTGGGATAGCAGCATCAGCACCCAGGAAATTGGAAATGTAAATTCGGGGGCCCCATGTTAGACCTCCCTTCTTTGCCTGGTAAATCCATCTTTAATATCCCAGCCCAAGCCCCTCTTCCTCCAGGAGGCTTTCCCTGACCTACCCGGCTGGGTGAAATCTCTCTCTTCTGGGAGCAGATCACCTCCCTGTATCACCTACTTTGTAGTAATTTTACATGCGTTCTGTGGTTATTTCATTAATGACCCATTCTTCACTACTCTCTGACTCTCTCGAGGACAAGGACTACACCTGTTTGCTTCCCCACTGCATCCCTCCCACCCAGCAGTGTGTGCACGGAGTGGGTCCACAGTAAGTATGTGCTGAATGAACGAACAAAGGAACGAAATGAACGAGACTCCTCAGACATCCACGTTTCCTGCCCAGTCCCCTGAGATTCTGACCACAGGACAGTTTGAGCATCCCCCCAACATCCCATTGCTTTAGGGAGCACAGCTCTCGAAGGGAACAGATGGGCAAGTCCTGAAGTTCATCCCTTTTGCCTTGCAGGAAGCCCCACCCACTTTCCTTCTTTCTTTGTAATTCCCTCCCGCGTCAACGTGGAAACTGCCTGTCTCCTCCTACCTTTCTCTGAAGTAACACAGTCCTTTCTGGTCCCTTCCTCTAAAATGTTCTCTTACGCCTTGTGCATCACAAATGTGCGGTTTCCGGCCCCATGAATAAGTAGGATAAATTGCGCAATCAGAGGCGGTTATTCATTACCATCAGTATTTTTGCCAAAGCCTCCAGCTTTTAAACCTCCGACGGTCTTAGAAAGCAAGGTTGTGTGTCAACAAATTCTGAACGAGTCTTGCTCATCACCCTTGTGATCGTTTTGGAAATGAATGGTAGGTCCCTCGCCCGCCCTGAAACTACAAATATACCAAAGCTCTGTACTAAATACGCAATTAATTTTCAAGAACTTTTCCAGGATAGCAGATTATGTGTTTATCAGGGACTTATGTTTTCTTTTTCCCATAAATCCAAGCATCAAAATCGGCAGGATCATATTTGATTAGAGTTCCACAAGTTCTGTGACATTTAAATACCCAAGGAGGTAATTACACTTCCAACTGGCAGACTCTGTTCTGAAGCCTCCGGTAGCAAAAGTAACTAACATGCATGGTCTATTAGCTACAGAGGGAAAGGAGCTTGGTCATTTAATTGGATTAAGTGACACATCTCCTGAGTCATCTCTCAACGATGGAACCGGACTCCAGGTAACAAGGTGGGAAGAAGGGAATGAGTTAGTGCAAAGCTATCACTCAATTTGAAAAAACAAAAATAACCATCTCAAGCTTCATCTTCTACTCATAAAATGAATGCATTCCTACACCAACTATTATCTTTTGTTATTCAACTCTGTCAAGGTAAAAGGTTGGCTTGAAATGCTCTATAAAGATGTTCCGTGTTTCTCAACTTCTGGCTGCAAATCTCTTGGGATCTACTTTTTAACACACAACAAGGGCAGGTCCAGAAAAATCAGAAACTCAAAGATGTGTACAAAGACACAAGCTCTTTTGACCAAAAAGGAGAAAAGACGCGGCAGGGGAATTTTTTTTTAATATTTGGGATTTTCTGCTTTCTTTGGATGATTCTTAATCAAGATTAACTTATTTTTCTAAATAAACATCGCACAGATGATTTTACCACAGATTAACCTAGTTGGCTACCTTTCTTCTCACTTTCCTGCAATCCCAGCATTAAATAGATGTTGGAAATGTCATTTTTTTTTTTTAGAAATAATTATTTTTTCTTATTTTTTTTTTTTTATGTTATGTTAGGCACAGAATAAGAACCAGGGGCTTATTTTGTCACTGTTTCTCTACATCTGACTGGCCCAGCAAAACTTGATGAGTCATGCTGTTGATCTCCTCCCCGTTTACCCTTTGATCACACTGGTGTTACTCACCATGAGGAAATACCCAATAAGCAGAACGGGCATTAAGAGGATAATGAGTAGGTAATCAAAGAAGGTAAATTTTTTCTTCACAGCATAATGCAAGCAGTTTCTCTCTTTCTGAAAATTAAGAAAACAAAATAGAGAAAATAAATTTTTTATTAATATTTATTTCAAATTTCATATTTTCAGATTGCCATATCAGAAAGTTTCGTTTGTGGGGCGCCTGGCTGGCTCAGTCGGTAAAGCATGCGACTTTTGATCTCAGGGTTGTGAGTTCAAGCCCCATGTTGGGCAGTAGAGCTTACTTTAAAAAAAAAAAAAAAAAAACTACATTATTTTTTTAAAAAGGTTGGTTTGTGCTTTTTATTTTTATGGTACCCATGGCAACTCTTTCTGTGGAGTGTGTCTGATTAATAAGGCCACTTCTCCATTGTATAATCTGAAGATTCTCAGGGCGCCTGGGTGGTTCAGTCAGTTAGCAACCAACTCTTGGTTTCGCCTCAGGTCATGATCTCAGGGTTGTGGGATCGAGCCCCACGTGGGCTCCGCAGGAAGTCTGCTTGAGATTGTCTCTCTCTCTCTCCTTCTGCCCCTCCCCCTCTCACGCACAGTCTCTCTCGAAAATCTATAAATAAATATTTTTTTAAAAATAAGATGGATTCTCACACGCATGTTAGTTTTTTGGGGAAAAAATACATTGAGATAGAAACATAGGACTGAATTCAGTGTGAAAAGCTATCGTTACCCCTGACACATCTCTGGTATACAATTATTCATTTTGTGGTTTGTTTCTGGGAAAATCTTAACCACGTGGCATATCTTCCCTGTTCGTACATGCATACATACAGTGCTGGAAGAATGGAAATAAGTCAATTTAATTCTTCAAATATGTGACTATTTATCAGGTGACAGACTTAAGCTTCTACGGGCTGTGGGCGGATGTAAAGCCTCATGGCCTCATAATCAAAGAAAGGTAGACAGAAACAAACACAATAAATATAATGCAAAACAGGCCATGATGATTGGAATACCAACCAAATCAATGGGAAAAGAGAGAAAGCCAGAGAGAAAAGAGAGGTTAATTTCAACTTGGGGGAGGCACAGTTCTTAAATAAGAATAATTTTTGTTTTTTTAATATCAAGGTAATATGCTCTCTGTAAAAAATTTGTAAACTAAACAAGGATATAATGACAGAATTTAAAATCACCCATTATCATAGCCCAGAAATAATTGTTGACATTTTGGCTGTAGTGTCTTCCAGTCTTTTAAAATGCATTATGTGGGGGCACCTGGGTGGCTCAGTCAGTTATGCATCTGCCTTTGGCTCAGGTCATGATCCCAGGGTCCTAGATCGAGCCCCACATCGGGCTCCCTGCTCAGTGGGGAGCCTGCTTCTTCCTCTCCCTCTGCTGCTCCCCCTGCTTGTGCTCTCTCTCTCTCTGTCAAATAAATAAAATATTAAAATAAAATAAAATAAATGCCTTATGTGGAATTTTAAAATGTGGGATCATACTGCATATGCAAAATCATATCTGCTTTTTTTCAACTCACATTTAGAATTCGTGCATTTTCCATGCCATTTAAAACTTCTAAACATATGACTATAATAGCTGCATGTCTTTCTATTGAATGGAGCTATTCTAATTTATTTAACCAAACCCTATCTGTTGGACTTTCCAAGATTTTAACTTTTTATTTTTATAAATTATGCTGCTTGGACATCCTCATTCATAAAGCTTTGTCAACATTTCCAAATTCATCCTTAGCAAAAGTTTCTAAAAGTATAATTGCTGATGTGAAAGGTATGAATGCTTTTCATATTGTATTGTTAAATTGTGCTCTGGTAAAATCATAATGATTTAAACTTCCTTCATGATCAACACTCGGTTTCCTTTTTTAATCCTGGTCAATTTGACAAGCCAAAAAAAAAAAAAGGTATATTTATGTTTTAATTTAATTTGCTTTCCATAGAATTGATGTTCTCTATTAGGCATGTGCATATGAATTGCCAGCAGAACTGTGTGTTTTATTTTAAGGCCTTTGTTTATTTAGTACTTCTGAAAATAAGTCCTAAACATAGATTTAAGAAATGAGAAGGCACTGGTTAAATTATTAATGTGCCAAGATTAACATTGGGGGAAAATTAAGAAGATTAAACATTTAAAAACCATTAAAAATATTTTAAAAACAGAAAATGTAAGCCCAACCTTTCTTGTGATATCTCTATTTTTCTAACATATCCCTCAAGTCCTTTCCAAGATGTTCATGATTACCAGAGGATCCCAGCAGGCTGGCTCAGGTTCTGTCCCTTCTCGGGCCGATCCCTGTGTTGACCAACATCTCCTGCCCACAGCTTCCGAATAAATACGTCTCCCGACAGAGGTCATGAACCCACAGACATCTGTCTTTGTCACTCCCACTCACCGCAAGCACACACACCTGGTTCCTCAGCTGTGAGCTAGGGAGAGTGTGTCATACTCCACTAAGCTGCATATCTGTGAGATTCAGTGCAGGCCTGACTTGTTTTTAAACCCAACCAAGCAAAAAAAAAAAAAAAAAAAAAACCAGTAACTATAAACAAGAAGGTCCAGGAGCAATCCATTTTCTGATAATATGTTATTGCTCCAAATGAGCTGGTCTTGAACCAGAAGGGGCAAGGGGGGCCCTATAGGCTGCTTTTCCTCACTGAATGTATGTGAGTGGGAACAGGGCACTCATAATTATTACAAGTAATGACTTTTTATATTTACTCAGTGTACTTTAAATGTTGCTTGTTGCTATGATGCAGACACATTCAGAATGTTGGAAGTTGTTCTGAAAGGATGCTCACGGCAATACACACGTATTCTGCTCTTCCTTGATTCTGAAGATCCCATCAGCTAACACTGCATCTTAAATACAATCTTTATGCCTTTCTGTGTGGCTTCAAGGAACCTCTGGTTCATGAGCTTGTTTGTCCTTAAATGTCTCACTAGCATTCTTCAACCCAAAAGCAAACTGTAGGATCTTCTGGAGAACATTGACCCAGGAGGCAAAAACCTAATGACATAACACCAGCAGGTCAATATTTTTTTCCAGGAAATCTTTCCCATTACTTCTGTGATAGTGAGGAGGAGGAACCAAAGAGGGAAGCGGGAAGGCAGGGAACAGCATGGGGAGGAGGAGGAAAAGAAAGGAAGAAACTCTCACTAGTCAAATGAGTGAACAATGACCTTTCTTTTCAGAAGTATGAGGACATAATTTACCACAAAATATGCCTGCTGACTGAACTGTGATTTATTTGGCTTTTTAGCTTAATAGAATAGTATGTGTCTGTCCCTCTAAAGTAAGGCAAAAAAAAAAAAAGTTGGTATCAGGAGCTACGAGCAACAAGAGGACGGCATTCACTACTTCATTGCTGTGAAGAGAAAGGGTAACCATGGTCAATGACCCTCCCCACTCATGTGTCATGGCCTCACCCGGTTTTTGAGGTTCACATCAGCATTTCTTTTTAAAAGGAAGGAAACGATTCTCAGATGTCCTCGCCTACAAGCACAGATCAGGGGAGTGTCTCCATTCAAGCCATCTCGAACGTTGATATAGGCTCTGTCTTCTCTCACCCACCGCCACACTTGACCCAAGTCATTCTGGTAGGCTGCCTGGCAGACAGGCTGAGACGGGAAACACAAAAGCAGATTTTGCAATACAGGTATAATGGAACCCCCATAAGAGAAAAATCCTCACCCCGTCACTTAAAGCTCAAGTGTTTCCAGATTGCAATAGATTGCTTTGTAGGTGAGATCTTTGGTCTCCATCATGCCTAGGCTTAAATCCAAGCTTAAATCCATGAGGAAGCTCTTGGGATTTCCTAGATTGCCTGGCATACAGATGTGTCCACCGAATGAGGGAAAACATGGAAACAATATTGCAGACTCAGGTCAGGGAGGAAACTCTCTGGTGGGTGGATAGAAAGGCAGGATTTCACTGAAGACAAAATAGGCATATGGGAGGGATTTAGGGTCACCCTAGGTGATGACACAATGATGTATGGCCCCCTGTACTCAAGGAACCCGGTGCAGTGGAAAAGACCTATTTTAGACAAATAACATATAAATAACAAATGACTTAATTAACTGGATTCGACGCTTTTTATTTCAAAAGTGTTCAAAGGAGCTTTGCAAAGCACAATGGGAGCTTACCAGTAAGACCAAAGCCGACCTCTGTGCCCACTCTGCCCCTCCTTCTGGACCTCTCTTCTGTTTTCAATATCTCATGTTCTGGTCCTTCCATCTGAGCCCCTGCCCTCACTGCTCCCTCCGCACAAATCCTTTTTTCCCCCCTCTCTGCCCAGCTGGATGCCTGTTGACCTGTCTGTCCTTCGTGCCATCGCTGAATTTTTACTTTATCAAGCCTTTCCTGATGCTGGCACTGCTTGGCCGCAACTAGATAACTCTCATTCTTTCCTTAATGGTTTATAGTCACGTGTCGCAGGCATGGGGAGAGGTTGCACAAGTGAGGGGAGGTGTCCAAGTTCAGGTTGCCAGAGCCCTGCGGACAGAGGCTGCATCATTCCACTCATCACTGGAATCGATTCGAGTCATATCCCCAGTACTAACACAGCCCTGGCATATGGTAGGGAGATACTGAATATTCTCAGACTGATTTTAATTAGAGACTTAAAAAAAAAAAAAAGGCACTTAGAATAATACCGGGCACAGAGATGGGGCTCAATTTATGGAAAATTATTGTTCCTGCTTATTCGGTCATTCTTTAATTTGGTAACAAAGTCAGACCTCTCCTGGGCTCCAGCCACAGTTGCCGGGGGACAGGGAGGAGGATAAAATGCATTACTCTTCACCCCGTGAAATATATTTACCAGTTGGGAATATAGTGCGTGCACACACACACACACACAAGCTCACCAATAGGAATACAAAGTTAAAGAAGCACAGATTCCGGTTAATAAGCACCAGCTGAGGCAGACCTGAGTGACAAAGCTGGGGTGGTACATTTGCTAATCAATTCATGTTCTAACATTGCCAGATACCACATCCAGCGAGCTTTTGAAAGGTGCTTTTAAGCCCAAGGCCCAACTCATGAAAGAAACATCCTAACGGAAAGTCAGCTCAGTAGCAGATAAGAGGTGAGCTTCTGTACCCCAAAAGGAAATGAGCACGATACAGGGGTCCAAAATGCAGTAGAAATGCACAGTTACACAGATCACTTTTCTACTACCCTGAAGTCATCCCTTGACTAGACCTCGTCACCAGTTGGGCTCAGCCGCGTCCCCGGGTTTTCTGTCTGGCTGACACAGAAGTGACCCGAGCAGTTCAAAGGACGTGTATCTGCTATCAGGAAACTGGCTTGTCATAGTGGTTCTGCTACTATTTCCCTGGTGACCTTGAACACATCTCTTCCCTTCATATGTCTCCGTGTCCTCAGTCACAAAACAAAGGAATAAAGTAAAAATTGTTCTATGTTGTCACACCCTACGACTGTCACACCCTGGACCTCAAGTGTCTCTCCAACCAATGCATCTTCCACATCAACTATAAGGTCAAGACATAGTCCTTTCTTTTTTTTTTTTTTTAAGATTTTATTTATTTTAGAGAAAGAGTGTGAGCAGGAAGAGAGGCAAAGGGGGAGGGAGAGGGAGAGAATCTCAAGCAGACTCCATGCTGAGCACAGAGCTCAGCGCGGGGCTCAATCCCACGACCCTGAGATCACGACCTGAGCCAAAATCAAGAGTCGGACACTTGACCAACTGAGCCACCCAGGTACCCCAGAGGAGTAGTCCTTTTTAAGCACAAATACTGCTCAAAAACTTGCATCGAGTCGCCCTTATCTTAGTAGGGATGCCCTGTCTTTTAAATTTAAATAACAAATAAAACGGAGCTAAATACAACAGGCAATGTTAAGTCACCAACTCTTAATTTTGCCAACTGAATACATGAGAAGCAAAATCAACATTTTGTAAAATAAAAGATACTTTAACATAAATGTACGTGCAAAACAGAACTATTTTAACAAAATATATAAGGATACAATCACAGGAGAGAAAAAAGCCATCTTTATATTAGATAGATTTAGCTGTATGGAAAAACTTATTTCACTGTCTTTCTTTTTTAATTTCACTGTAAATCAGGGAAAATTTGCCACTAATTACTGCTGTCATTTGTAGGTCTAGCATTTGGGAACTGATAGTCCACCACACAGAGCTACATAATTACACAATTGTGAATTGAAAATGGGTAGCTATAGAGTTAATTTTTCTTGTCTAAACATTTTAAATTACAACATGAAAAATACTGGAATATTTCGTGTCGTCGGGCTTTCCAGCTTCTCTTAAAAAGTTAAAAGCTTTAAGAAAAGTTAAGAGCTTTGACAACACTTGTGACGCTGGGCCCACATTCCCAGAGGACACCAAATAAGCCCCCTCTGCTTGGGCTCCTCAAAAATCTTTTCAGAGAGTCCGCTGAAAGGAGGAAGGGGGAAAGTAGACAGTTTGCCTTCAAGAGACACCGGGTGCCTCTGAGTGCTTTCTTAATCCCACTCGAGTGATCGTACTTAACGTATTAACCCGATTTATCTAATCTTTCCTAATCTTCCTATACCCAGGCATAGAGTTCCTGTGTGTGCAAAGTAAAGTGTCCCCCTGGTTCAATTAGACACACAAGTGGTGGGTCCCAGGAGTTGAGTGAACCCCAGGAAAGGTTCTATGCTGTTGAGAACTCCCAGTGTCCACCAGGGGGCAGCTCAGGGTCACAAAAGCATTGACAAGGGCCGAAGGAAAGCCAACAGAAAGCTGGGGCCCAGAAAGAGGAAGAGGCTGTCCACTGGGGTTGAGGGAAGAGTTATTATGAATTCTGCTGACCTCTGAAGCTTCTGGGACTTAGGGGAACTCTCGGTGAAGAGGAAACCAGTGGAGAACCTGGGAAATTGTAATGATGATTCTATCCCTTAGTACTCTTCTGTCCATCCTCATGGTCAAAGTACCAGTTCAGATCTTTGTCATTCTCACCAGGACTGTTGCAGAACTAGCAGATGACTGGTCTTGCTTCTCTCTGTCTTGCCCTTCCAGCCCCAAGGCCACCCATCAAAAGCAGCAGCTTCGTGTCACTTCCCTACTGAAAACTTTGGTCACTTGGTGACCAATTGAGTTAGGATGCTCTCTTTGAGCTGACACAGGATTCTTCAGATCTCACGAATCCTGTCTTTCCAACTTCAGCTCTTACCACTGCCTTATCTGTACCCTTGATCTAAGTAAACAAAGGCACTGGGGCGCCTGAGTGGCTCAGTTAAACTTCCAACTCTTGGTTTTGGCTCAGGTCATGATCTCAGGGTTGTGGGATCAGGCCCCGCGTCGGACATCATGCTGAGCATGGAGTCTGCTTGGGATTCTCTCCCTCTCCCTCTGCCCTTCCCCCCACTTGTGCATGTGCTCTCTCGCGCTCTCTCTCTAAAGTAATTACATAAAATCTTTACGTAAATAAAGGCACGAGTATTACTAACAGCTATCTCCCCTGCTAGACTGAAAGCTACATAAGGGTGGGTATTCTGTCTGTACTCGTACGTTGTATCCCCAGCATCCCTCATACGCCTGACACATAGTAGGCATTCAGTGTTTATTTGGTGAGTAGGTGTATGAATAAATTATAATATGAGGTAACTTTTATTGAGTGCCTCGGTTAGTTCATTTAACCTTCACACAACCCTCTAAGCTAAATAGTATTATCACACCCATTTTGTATCAGTGAAACTGAGGGAGGTTGTCTTTCTAACCTATAGTCAGCTCATAACTGGCAGGGCCAGGAATGAAAGCCAGGAGAATGACCGTAGCACGCACACACCCTGGTTCTCGTTACTGCAGGCAGTTTGCAAAACAGCCTTCACAATGTCTTTTGGCTATAGGTCTTTGCATTTGAGGTCATGTCTGGTTCCACCTACACCCCAGTCAAGCTACAGTCTACACGCTCAGGACACTGGTCAGTCCTCTTCTGCCCTGGGCCGCTTCCTGCTTCTGTGTTCAGATTCTTCTCCAAGCTGACCTAGCTGTAGCGATATCTGGCAAGAGGTAAAGAAGTAGTGGTCGGGGAGGTTGCAGGAGAAACCGGAAAAAGATACGGCCCAGGTGCAAAGAAGGAAGAATTTCGAGAAGGAAGATGGACTTAGGGAGTAGAGTGTAAGGGGAGGTTCTGGATCTGACCATGAAGGACCACCAATGCTCATAGAGCAATGGGCAGAAGGCAGACCACAGGGCCCTGAGCACAGGGTCTATGAGGAATCAGGTGATGTGACCGGAGAGGAATTGTGGCAGATTGGGTTGTGAAAGCCAAGCGGGAGCGAGCGGTGCACAGAGGGAGGCAGCAGGGTCCAGCCCAAGTCCTGCACAGCGGCAGGCAAAGTGCTGGTGTCAAGGGGTTGTAAACCCACGCTCAGGAAGCAAACCCTCTGGGCTCCAGTCTCAACCCCACCACATAAGAGTCGTGTTATTAGGACAACTTACTTAACCTCTCTGTGCTTAGTTCCCTTCTACATTTAATAATCACAACTTCTTGGGGCGCCTGGGTGATTCAGTTGGTTGGGCATCTGACTCTTGATTTTGGCTCAGGTCATGACCTCAGGGTCGTGAAATCGAGCCCCAAGTCGGGCTCCAAGCTGGGTGTAGAGT